CTCTCCTTCACTCCTCATCGTTTAGCTGCTCTATGTCTTCTTTTTTTGTTGTTTTCTCTTGTTTCCTCTCTGATACCTCTGTTTCTTGTGTTCCTTATTCTCCCTCTTCCTCAACCCATTTTGAACTCTCACTGTTTTTCCTCTCAAAGAGCGCCCGCGCTTTGCCTTCCCGTTCTGTTTGAGAGGCTTATATTTAGCAGCATTAGAATGGAACTCCCTGGGGCAAAAGTATTTAGCATTATGCTTCTGACCCACATAAGAAAAGGTAGAAAAATAAACCTCTGCATTCAAAACTTAATTCATTCATAGCCTCATATCCTCTTGCTTGAGCTTACGAGTGTGTTTGTGAGGCGCAGTGTTAGTCTCCACGTGCTGTGAAGGCTCACACTGTGCCACATGCATCTTAAGCCTACAATTACTACTTGATCCTGTGATTGGTCACAGCTTAACTGTATCGACTGATGGGTGGGTTGCAGTGTGCAATCAGCACGGTGTCCCTTACACAATACACACCCTCACATACATCATGTGCAAATAATTAGCTAATGGTTCACATAGCACTTTACCCTGCTCTTTCAGCCAGCTTGGCATAATAATTGGCATGAGAACTGAAATGTCACCTGTACTGCGTCTGGTGAGAGTATTGTATTGAGGCTGTGCATGGTATGTGTGCGTGAGTGCGCGTGCTACAGTTGTGGATAGTCATAGAGATCGCCTGTGGCCACTCTGACTAGTTCTCTGATCCCAGCACTAGTCAGACACACACACATGGACTCCCACCTGCACACGTAGCATCCGTTTTCAGTGGCAGTGGAGGAGAAGATGTGCGCCGTCATCCACCCACACACTCACCTTCACTGATGCACTGAAACTTACAGCATATTTGCCAAGTACCACACGAGTGCCTCTATTTCACTCACCCTCTCACTTCCTCTCCCGCTTTGTCTGCCTCACACACACATACGCAGTATTCTGCTCTAATTCTAATCGAGTAACCACATCAGCACTCAAATGTGATGAACACATGCTGTTTAAATCTTACAGCTTCAGTTTGGCACGAAAGCCCCAAGAGACCACTGCTGCTTTTAAACATTGCCAGTTTTAAGAAAGCCTTTTTGATAAGGCCCAAGAGACGTGGTGGATTTTAGCCTGCAGTGCTGCATTTAAACAACCCAAATCCAATCATAGGTAAACCCAAATTTTCATTATGTCAAGCTGTTGCAGAGTTTAAGACCTTATGTGTTTGTTTGTTTTATAGTAGTTGATTTATATTAACCTGACTGCACCTGATGATTTGTTACACAGAACTATATGGGAAGTCATTGTTGGAAAGTGTCTAGAAAAGGGTAGGCACCTAACCATCTATCACAATTATTCATGGGCCGCTTCAACCAATCAGATCAACAAACCTTATAATGTAGTCAAACTCTGAAGCCAGTCTGGAAAATAACAAAACCCATTTTCCATTGAGGAAAGTGCTGCTCTTCTTTAAATGAAGAAATACTCTCCAGTCCTGATATAATTGATGCTAGCAGCATTTATATTAACCTCTATGGAACCCACCATTGTTGTTTAAGATCAGTGTCTGCTTGCTGCATCACACCTTGTGCACATCCCCGCAGTTGCCTGTACTTTATCAAAGGACGTTGATTGGTTCGGTAACACTGCGCCACAAACGCATAGACTGAAGCCTGGCAAGATGGATCCTTGTGTGATTTTGTGACCTCACAAGTCCAGCTGCCTCGCAAGGATAGATTTTCATACTGGCATCAATGAACAATATCTCACCACTGCAGCTGACAGTAACAACATAATTGTTCCACCCAAAATGTAACAACAAGAAATCACAAACAATGTTTGTGGTAAAAATTCTGTTCTATTTCAAAGAATGGAGCTTGCTCAGGTATCATCAAATGGCCTAAGTACCGGACATTGGTCATGTGATAACAGGTGATCATATAATCTTAATATAGTTTAGAAAATCTACCAGAGATAATATGTGTCCCCGAGAATGAAAATATAGACAGGGATAAAGGCATAAAGGTATAATAAAAAAAGCAGCAAAAGTAAACTAAAAACTAAAAAAGTAAACAGAGAATAAGTCACAAAAAAGAATCAATCAGAAATGATTCTTAAATATGCCTCGTGCACATTGAGTCTTTCCTTGAATTTTAACAAATGTGTTGAATTTCCTTTTTCATAAAACATTGGCAACAGCGATTTTAAGGATTTTAAATCCTGCATTGTTTACATTCATGTTTACTAGCTTGCAGTCTTCTTCTTCACTGCCCTTTTTTGCCTGGTGCATTGTTGCATATTTCAGCTTCCTGTAGATCAGTGGAATATTGTGAAACCATTGGCAGGAATGTCTATAGTGTCATGCACACATGCATAAGACAAACAAAATGGGGACCAAAACCCCCTCTTTAAGACAAATTCAATAATGGTGAGAGGTGTGAGGTAATTTAAATGATGTTAGAACTTGCAACAAAGATTGTAGGACATTAGGAGTCATGTCTGATACTGTCTCACCTCACTGTGTGCAAACAGCCATCTACCACAGCTGATCAGGTATAGTCATGAATTTACACATTAAAGTAGTATGTTGTAGATTTTGCAATATTAAAGTAGTTACAAATTAACTTCCATTTAAGTAACTTTGGTTCTCTTTTGAGCACTTAAACTGCTTGGAATCAAAGCTCTACCTCTACAGTGCAATGTACTCTATCGTATATGTGATAAACTTACAAGTAAGGGCAGCCATATAAGTAACATAAAAGTGGCGCCTGCCACAGTCTCATTTTGGAGTGGACTATGCTCAAAGCACTCTACAAAGATTTAATAGATTTACTTAAAAGGGGAAGACATTTCTTGGGGAACTCCACTGATTTTACTGGTCATGGGGAGTAACCTGTGAAAACTGTTATCTTCTCTGGTATTTTGTCAAGTCTGAGAAAACAACCATCTGGGAGTGTGGACTTGTTTATCAGGTAGGGACCGTCTAATGAAAGCTTTTGAGTTGCGTGGACCTGACCTGCGTTAAGGAAGAAAGGTTAGGATATCTCTCTGTTGCAACAATTTAACCACTGTTCTTAAAAGCACTAACACTAAGTTTTAAATGTGTCAACTTGAGCAAATAACTGCACCTTTTATTCTGAGTTGCATGCCTCCTTATCAATATACAAACAGCAGCAGACAGTAGCAAAAAGAGAGAGGTTCTGGAGGAAAAATACCTGTGGAGTTTCTGGTAAGTTTAAAAAACAGTTGAAGCTGTCACACAAACAGACCGAATGCATACATACAAACACAAAGTTGGTATATGTTGTTACAGGAAGCGTCTGTACTGTCAGTCGCAGAACTCGTCCATTTTTCGTTTGTGGCTGAAAGTCTCAGTGAAAATTGAGAGAAAAGTGATATGAAAATCAGTTTTTTTTTATTGTGTCTGAACAGAGGCTCGTGGGATGGAGCGGTATCTTGGAGCGAGAGAGAACACAGATGCTCTGACTTTCAAAAAAGCCGCTTCACACTCCAGGCAAAATCACGCCACTCGGCTCCCACTCTGCACAGCTCGCATACCCTGGTGCCTGCAGCCCCCATCCATTCCAGTGTACGTTAGACTCCAAACAAATACAGACACAAAGTGCACCTGTGGATATATCATATGAGTGAATAAGTGCCTGTGCAATTGTGTTAGATAAAATCATCAGAATGTGTGTCTCTTTATGCACAATCTGTGGAAAGATGAATGATGAAATTTCAAAAGACAGGATGGGAACCCCCTGTTAATCCTAAATTGCCTCAGAATAATACCCTAGAAAACAAATATGTTATTATAATTTCCATTGTTATTATTAGCAATGCTTTTCAATTAAGAGAGTCAAATAGGCCTTTATGTTCAATACAGTAAATTGAGAAAATACAAAAATAGGGTGACAGAGGAAGGGACTGAAGTAGTCTCAACTATACAGTCGTAAATGACCCAGGAGTGCCTGTATATGTCTGTGCGTGATTACATGCACCTGCTTGTGTTTATGCTGGTACTTGTGAAGCACGTGTGTGTGTGTGTGTGTGTGTGTGTGTGTGTGTGTGTGTGTGTGTGTGTGCACGCTGCCCTAATATGTGGCTCAGAGGCAGCCATGTCGTAATGCCACTTAACTATAGGACATCAAAGAGACAAGCCCTGGGGACAAGACAGACAGTCATGGAGACAGAGCTTTGATGAGGATGCGAAGCTATGTTTCATTATTAATAATGTCCCACTGCTGTACTGACAAGAAAGTATGGCTGCTGTAATGGAATTCAGTACATTTTAGACTAATAACAATAATTACTGTGACTTACAATTTTCATTATATTTAGATAGTGTCAGTGGAAATGCACTACATGTTACTACAAATAATTGAAAAAATAAAGTAGTTAGTTGTTTTTGATTCATTGCATAAGTGTGCACACTGCCAAGAATTCATGACCTACAAATTGCAATTCTGTACTGATGTTTAAATATTAATGATGCTTCAATGTGCATTTTTAAGTCCTGGATGAAGACGGTCTGGTGAAAATTATAAAACTGTGCCTCCTCTTGTGCAGGAATAAGGGAAGGCATTTAGAGCTGATGTTTCATTCCGTTTTAGCACTGTGCAGTCTTGAAATAAGGACAGACTCTCTGTACACTGAAGCTATCTCTGACTGCTCTATGGAGGACAAATATAGTGCCCGTTGCCATGGTTATGACAGAGAACGCATCCACACAAACAGAGCAGTGAGACCACGAGGCTACACACCTACACACCTCTCTTCTCTTTCAATCCACAAACACCACGTGTAGATGAGTACGAACTAACCATTTGTGTGTGTCTCTCACATGTTGTGTGCGCATGTATGTGATTGTCATGTCTGTTTGTGTGAGGTGTGTGTGTGTGTGTGTGTGTGTGTGTGTGTGTGTGTGTTCATGATGAGAACCTGTGGAAGTGTTGTTTTTAACAAGTTGAACACAGACTCACCGTCACAGTGGGGATGGCGGTGACAAGGGAGTAGACGAGGACAGGCGGCGCCTTGCTGTTGTCCTCTGGTCCTGGGTACGGCTTGGAGTAGGATTTGTCAAAGCAGAAGAAGCCCTGGATGTGCACGGGGAACGTGTCCGTATACTCAAAGTAGTACGCCAAGAGAACGGTCCCTGCCATGATGACCAGCTGGAAATAAAACATATTGGTTCCAGCTTTAGGATTGGATCCACAGGACAGTGTAGGAGTTGGTAAAGAAAATACAGCCGGAGAGAGAAGAGTGGAAAATATTATCACGGATTAAAAAAAAGGAGAGATTTTTCCTTCTCAGAGCAAAATGATGGATGCTTCCGTAATGTGTAAAATGAATCAAGTGTGCGTGGAGAGATAGTGAGGCATGAGGATGAGAAGCAGAGGGAGGGAGGGAGGGAGGGGAGTAGAGATAGAGACAGAGGGAGACAAATAAGGAGAAAGACAGATAGAGAGGGGGGGAAGAGAGAGCAATGATAGAGATACAGAGTGAGAGAGGGATCCCTTCAGCTGTGTCAGTATGCAGAGTGGGAGGGTAAAGAAACAAATGGAGACCGATCAAAGAAAATAACGCTGTATGGAGGAAGAGAAGAACTCCACAAGGATGGGAGAGAGAAGGGGGAAGGGATGAGACACGGATGGAAAGAACAACCCTAAGAAGAGCATAGGGTAGGAGAAGAAGAATTATATGTGTGACTCTCTAAATAACTTATGTTGTTATTGTAACACACTACTATAATACCAGCTATATGCAAAGCACAAGCCATGAAGCAGAAAATATGAACTTCATAACTATTTAAGAATTTGATAATAGAAATAAATTAGCAATTCAGTACAGACTATACGCCTAAGAGAGAGAGATAGAGTAAGCACAGATGAGACAGCTGCACAAGTACTAATTATTCATTTATACTCCAGTAAACAGCACACAGTAACTCCTTTCCCCAGTTCTCTACAGGAAAACAACACATTTCCAACTGCATAGTAAGCTTAACTGAAGCTGTAACTGAAAACTGGAGGTTTTGCAGTGTTTGTTCGCCCTGCGGGAAAAGGCCTGAAACAATAACTAAAAAAGGAATGTGAGTTTAAATATAGCGAGCTGCTGATTAGCTTCATCATAATCTGCAGCCTAAATGTTTGCCCGATTGACTTCTATTGTATGTGAAGGACAAATTTATCAGCAGCAAAACATGAGGAGCCCCTACTGGCAGGACAAGCCGGTTTATAGCTTTAGGGACGTCAAGGCAGTAAAGAAACAGCCGTTTGGTGGATGTTGGTAACAATTAGTTTTTTTTTACCTTCGAGGGCTTACAATATGTGTAGCATTTGAAAGTTAAGAAAACATTACCATTATTAACTAAACAAAAAAGGAGTGGTGAGAAATTGTTTCTCAACCACAAAAGGATTGGGTGCTAACTAATACGTCAAAGCCAGCCCTGAAACAACGATGTGAGCTGAAAGTTAAAAGCTGAAGTTGGATAGACCTTTGTAACAGCAGACGTTTTGACTTGTCTAATACAGGTGAAACTAATTTCATTATTAATCGGTTCACCTTTGCTTTTCATGTTTTGACAGGTCAGAATGTCTGCTGTGAAAATGACTGGTGAATATGATTCATTTGCCAACGATAAAGTAATAAGAGGGCTTTCACGGTAGCTCAGATAGCAAGTTTCAGATTTTAGTCAGAAAGCAAGACCAGGATTCACAGTGTTTTGACATGGTGGAAAAGATAATAGTTTATCAGCAAATAACATCAGTCAAATACAAAATATGAAGAAGGACAATGCGCGTAAACATTTGCAAAAGACTAAAGCTTTGGGGTTTTTAAAAAAAACATTTTGCCTTTAATGGATAGCAACATCTGGATCTAGAGAGAGCGCAGTAAAGGGCCACAGGTTGGAGTCAAACAGTTTTAGGAGGCAGAGGTCTGCTGACAAGATATTAGACAACAACTACAATGAGCCTTGAAACACAATATATGAATGGAAAGGGAGTGTTTGGCGGACATTTGCCTTAAAATGCAATCAAGTGATATCTCCTGTGAGTAAAGCTTTAAAGGGACAGCTTGACTATTGACAAGTCAACTCTCATGTGTTTGCATTAACATAACTATGAAACAAGTGCCGGGAGTCAATTAGCTTAGCTTAGCATAAAGACTAGAAGCAGGGGGAAACAGCTAGTGTAACCCTTTTTAAAGGTGAAAAAATCCACCGATATACCAACACATCTAGCTCACTCCAAATTACATTTTGTTTGTTTAATCTGTGCACAAACTGAAAGGTAGATTTTAAGATCACAGCGGCAGATGGCTGAACAAGTGAACAACTGAGAAAACCTCCTCCAACATGTTTATCCTCTTCAGTCCACACTTACACTAATGTATAGTGAGGGGAAGGAGGGGGGGGCTTGTTTGACATAACATGTTTCAGCTTTATTACAGTGTGACAATAAACATTGGAGGAGAGGAGGTGACCTAATTCAAACTCCTTACAGTATACACTTGGCTCCACTGTCAGATTTGATTCTCTGCAAGTTTGTCTTTCCTGTTACCTTTACAGTCATTGAAAATCTGTGGGTTCCCTCCATGAATTGCAAAATCAAATAATTGATCTGTACGTTCCCATGGCAATGTTCAAACTTAATCTACTTCAATCTGCGAAGTGTTTGCACTGAGGGCCCCTAGTAAAGAGAGCATCACTCTAGGGGGATAATGTATTCAGTGACAACACACGTGCCCTAAGGTCCTTAAAAGCAAAATTATAAGGAACACAGAAACACACACATACATGCACACACAAATCCACACATGCTGGCAAACTACAAAAACACCTCCAGCCTGTAGTTTATATATAGAATATCAAGCAGCTCCTTGTTTTCTATGTTTGTTACCATCTACATGAGCTTTGTGTGTTTGAGTGAGTGGGAGTGTGTGTGTGTGTGTGCGTGTGTGTGTGTTTCCATGTGCAGATTGTGTTTGAATATGTCTGCAGGCATGTGGGTGCATTCCCATGTCTGAGGAGGAACTCTGACACAAGCACGCTGTGCTGAACATTTCTTTCCATCATCCATTCCTCTCTTCTTTGCCGAGCTACAGAAGGCTTGAGGGAGGGAGCGAGGGAGGGAGGTGTAGAAAGGTGGGAGGATGAGAGCGAGGGAGGTCTATGAACACCCATCAAAGTTTAAACAAACATTCAAAGACAACAGCAGAAAAACCTCCTTGGGAGATTATGCATGTCATTTTGCATCTATACTTTTGCACTACATAAGCACTAAAATTTGCTGTGTTGATTGACTATACTGTCAGTTTGAGAGATCTAACAAGCATGGGTGCGGAATAATACATGAGAAACACAAGTTGTTGAACACACTTTATATTCATTCTGGGACAAGATTATAGCAGTATAAATTCCCCCAGTGTGACTGAAATATAAAAGTTACGGTAAATAGAGGCATATACCGGAAATACAGCCAACTGAATACAGGCTTTACACCTCTTATATGACATTTCATCTCCCTTCACTCCCACATGAACAAATAACCAACTCTCTGTACACTCTGCAGCCACAGTTAGTTTGTCTGAATATTAATAAAGGTCAAAGCAACTTCAAGTTGATGGTTTCTAATTAGCACAGAGACACATCCTGCACAAGTCACCTTGGAAAATTAATTTGCATAAAAAAATATCTCTAAAGCATTGTGTTCATGTACAGTGTGAAATTACTGACAAACTTCCCAGGAGGGTCAAAACAGGCGGAAATGTCAGGCTTTTTAACCAAGGTTGTCAGCTATCTTAAAGTGTTTATAAGTCAAAGATAGTACTTTATTGTCCCCAAAAGCCCCCAGTCTTGCAGCTTTTGATTCAAATAAATTACAGAAAGTCCAGCCATGGATGATCTATAGGTGATGGATTTCGAGGTTCTTGTCTGATAAGCCACCAGCCTCAGTCTGTCACCTGTTGCCTCTACTTGGAGGACTGTTCTCCTTGAAAATCCTGAAGTCCCGACCTGACCCTTTCAATCTCTTTCCTTATTTTCATTCAGTTCAGACTTCATATAAGGAAACAAATTATTTAATAGCTTTTTAAATAACTGTTTTTCTGTTAGTCTTGCAATACTAAACAATGGGAGAGATCTACCAAGTGTCTGGTGAGCAGTGGTGTAGTGTACTTATTTTTCAGTCGACATTGAGTATACCCACTTCTAAATCCCCTCTGATGTGCATCACTGGCTAGTGTTCTGCGAGCTGAATTTTTTCTTCTCTGGATGGTAAAGGCATTGTTAGATTAAGTAAGGAATAAGGAATACATCACTCAAAAATAATTATATATTTCTGTGGATACGTTTGATTTAATAATGTTCCTTATTGCCTGAAGTCAAGCAGCAGAAGTTAAGTTACAATTTGTACATACTACTACAAATTGGCCAAATCAATCAATTAGCTGAATTACAAGCATGCCTTAAGGACATAAAAACAATGATGACCTGAAATTTACTGATGTTAAACCAGACAAAACTGAAGTTCTTTTACTTGGCCCCAAACACCTCAGAAACCCATTATCTAAAGATATAGTTTCTCTAGATGGTATCACCCTGGCCTTCAGCACCACTGTCAGGAATCTTGGAGTTATCTTTGATCAGGATATGTCTTTCAACTCCCACATAAAGCAAACTTCTAGGACTGCCTTTTGTCACTTACGTAACATTGCAAAAATTCGACATATCCTGTCACAAACAGATGCAGAAAAACTAGTCCATGCATTTGTTACTTCTAGGCTGGATTACTGCAACTCCTTATTATCAGGCTGCTCCAATACATCCATTAAGGAACTAGGAAAATAGATCATCTTTCTCCTGTACTAGCTTCTCTGCACTAACTCCCTGTAAAATTCAGAATCGAATTTAAAATCCTCCTCCTTACCTACAAAGCTCTTCATGGTCAGGCCCCTTCATATCTTAAAGAGCTCATAGTACCTTATTACCCCACTAGAACACTACGTTCTCTGAATGCTGGGCTACTTGTGGTTCCTATAGTCTCAAAAAGTAGAACAGGAGCCAGAGCCTTCAGTTACCAAGCTCCTCTCCTGTGGAACCAGCTTCCAGTTGTGGTTCGGGAGGCAGACACCATCTCCACATTTAAGAATAGGCTCAAGACGTTCCTCT